CATCTCTAAATTTAATTGTTGCTTTAAGATTTTTATGTTGGGGGCACCTGGGTTCAAGCCCCACATTGGATGTAGAGATTGCTTAAAATAAATAAAGTTGAGGGGCGCCTGGGTGGCTCAGTCGGTTAAGCGTCTGACTTCGGCTCAGGTCATGATCTCGCGGTCCGTGAGTTTGAGCCCCACGTCGGGCTCTATGCTGACCTCTCAGAGCCTGGAGCCTGTTTCAGATTCTGTGTCTCCCTCTCTCTCTGACCCTCCCCCGTTCATGCTCTGTCTCTCTCTGTCTCAAAAATAAATAAGCGTTAAAAAGAAAAATTAAAAAAAATAAATAAAGTTGAAAAAAAATAAATAAATGCTTGAGGGGTGCCTGGGTGGCTCAGTGGGTTAAGTGTCTGACTTTGGCTCAGGTCATGATTTCACAGTTCCTGAGTTCGAGCCCTGCGTTGTGCTCTGTGCTGACAGCTCAGAGCCTAGAGCCTGCTTTGGATTCTGTGTCTCCCTCTCTCTGTCTCTGTCCCTCCCCCGCTCATTCTCTCTCTCTCTCTCTCTCTCTCTCTCTCTCATGCGCAGTCTCGCTCTGTCTCTCTCTCTCTCTCTCTCTGCTCCTCACCCCCCCACCCTCTGTCTCTCTCAAAAAGAAATAAACATTAAAAATGTTTTTAAATAAATAAACATTAAAAACACTAAAATTTTTATGTTCAATTCTATTTCCTACTATATCAACAGATCAAACTTTCACCAAATAGTAATGTTAAAAAAAACTAACAAGAGAGGTGCCTGGGTGGCATAGTCGGTTGAGCGTCCGACTTCAGTCAGGTCAGGATCTCGCGGTCTGTGAGTTCGAGCCCCGCGTCAGGCTCTGGGCTGATGGCTCAGAGCCTGGAGCCTGTTTCTGATTCTGTGTCTCCCTCTCTCTCTGCCCCTCCCCCGTTCATGCTCTGTCTCTCTCTGTCCCAAAAATAAATAAACGTTGAAAAAAAATTAAAAAAAAAAAACTAACAAGAAAACAACTGCAGAGAGGCTAGCAGGGCATTACTGCCAGTAGAACGCGAGTGATATGAAACTTTTTTTTTTTAATCAATCTCTACACCCAACCTGGGTCTAGAACTCATGACCCTGAAATTAAGAGTGACATGCTCTAATGACTGAACCAGCCAGGCACCCCTGAAGCTTTTCACTATAGTAACATATTTAGTAACTTTGCTTAAATCAAGACAAGAAAAATAGATTTTACGGAATAAGGCTAGAAAAATTTGTGAATTACTCACATGTTTATTTTCTTACTCATCCAGTATTGTTGGCCCTTGACCAAAATACCCATACGTGTGCAATAATAATTAAATTCAGTCATGTTTGATATTTTCGTGGCTTTCTCTGTGTTAAAAAGAAACACCAAGACATATTTTTCAACTTGTCATTATGAATGCATATTTGTCGATGTTTGCAGGAGGATACATTTCTTGCCGCCGCGTTCCACGCGAACCCTGCCCCCGACTGCTCTCCCATGTGTGTGTTCCCTACTCGGCTAAGCGGAGACTGGATGGTTTGGGTTCCTTGCACTGGATCAAGAGGCGCCCTCGCTGAGGCCAGCGGAGGAAAGTGAGGGTGACCAGAGAAAGGCGTGGGGGCGGAGGAGGTGCCAGCAGGTGGGGAAGCGCTGCCACCCGGGGCTGCCCTCGTGCCCGTGAGTGCGTGCGTCCGGAAGACTCCGGGCTCCACCTCGAGGGAGAGCAGATCTGCCCAAGAGCCCGGGCCGCGGGTGCTGCCCTGTGGGTGCGAGTCCGCTCTGCAGGCCCGGCTCTGCCGCCTCCAAGCCGTGTGACCCTGGCTGAGTCACTTCTCCGCCTCTGCCCGCTCCCTCCCCGCACCCCCTAGGGTTTGGGAAGAAGCAGGTGTCGCAAGGAGCGCGGCGCCTCGCGCACAGCGGACAGTAAATGGAGTTGGTTTCCTTATTCTAACCCTGGGCTGGAAGCGCTGTGCGAGCGGACAGCCTCTCTCTTACTGTGTTCACTGGCAACGCGGAGGGGCTCCACCAACAGCGTGTCATGACACCTTCCTCTCCGCGACCCCGCTGCCCTTCCCTCCCCCGGTGGGTGCTGGGCAACGGCTCTGCCCAGAGGCCGCACCCCTCGGAGGCAGAGCGGGAGCCAGGCTATTGTTGTGGCTGAGATTCTTTCCTAAACGGAAGGTCCCGAATTACAGGATAGCTGCTCTGATCTCCGTGGGGGCGCACATGGCGCAGGGGGCCCCTCCTGTGGTGCTGGGGCCTCACCGGCGCCTTGGGCCCCTCCTGCTGGCAGCTCCTGACCCCTCCCCGAGCCCTCGCCTCTGAGCCGCCTTTTCTCAGGACCCCCCACCACCTCACGCATCTCCTCCCTTCTAGGCACCTCATCTTGTCTCTCAGCCCTCCTGAGCCTCTCCCTCCCTCTGTCCCTCTCTCCCCCTCCTCCCTCTCTCTCCCTCTCCTCCCCTCCCTTCTCCACACCCCCTGCAGTCCCCTCCCTGACACCCTGGCTCCTGCTGTTTTGGGGCCTGTAGCTTTCACCATCCCTCCCCCAACACCCCCCTCCTCCAGACCCCACCAGACATCCCACCCCTGCCAGAAATCCCTTCCAGGCCCAGATACCCCCTCTTTGAAAAACGTACCCCCCCCCTCTTCTCTGGCAGAACACACGTCCTCCCCTCTCCCCTGCTTTGTTCATCTCCGTCACAGAAAGAAGCGCTGCTCTGGCTGAAGTTGTGATCAGTCTGTCATGCCCCAGCCCCCCAATCCACCCCTAAGCAGGCTGAGCTCCCTGAGGGCAGAAACCGGTCTGACCCTGCTGCTGACCCCACAGCGCAGAGCAGAGTTCAGAATGATTTGTTGACAGCAGCTGAGACTGTGGGGTTAGAAACAATTTAGGCCGGAGGTGTCATTGCAGGGCAGGGGCTAAGAGGCAGATCCATCTAACATTTATGAGCACCTTGAGGCACCAGGGGCTTTCTCAGCTGCCACTTCTTTGTGCCACTCAAGACCTGGGTCTTCTCATTCCGATTTTACACAGAAGGAAACTCAGAGAGGTTGAGTTCTTGCTCCAGGCCACACAGCCAGTGAGCGGTTACACCAGGGTTAGAATCAAAGGCAGGGGCTGAGGTGTGTGTGGCTGTGGTGAGGGGCCTGTAGCTGGCTGCTAAGGGAGGTGACAGTGTGGGGCGGGGGCCTGAGGCTGGATCTGAAGGCCTCCCAGAGCCTTCTCATTATTCCCGACACTGACCAGAGCTGTTCCCCCAGCCTCCCCACCCCGCCCCTCTTCTCCGGAAGGAGCCAGTTCTGACTCAGCCCATTTCCAACTGATCATCAAGGTGATCCGGGAATGAGCTTGGAAATAGGAAGGAAGTATCTCTCAGATTTGGCCTCCCACAGGCCCAGGGTCCTGCCTCTAGCACCGGAAGGAGCCACTTTAAGGATGTCCCTAGGGATCCATTGCCAGAAAGACAGATGATCCGTTCATGGCAAGTGTGACCCAGAGACGGGGCGGGGGCAGGCAGCTGGAGCTCCACCTCATGATCTCCCCACCCCTCACTCTCTCACTGACTTGCAGGGCTCTCTTACCCAGAAGGCCAATCCAGTTTGACCTCTCCTCCATGAGCCTGCTCCACCAGCACAGTAGAGGGTCTGTTTCCATTGGCATCCTGGGACAGGGTACTGTCACCCCTCAGACTGTGCGCTGGTGAGAGCAAGGCTACTTGACCATCCCCCACCTCGGACTCCAGAGCTGTGTCTCCCCCCTCTGACTGGGCGCTCCCAGGGCTGGGGCTGCCTCCCCCATCTGATGGAGTGCTCCTACAAGCAGAGTCCCTTCTAGTCACCCTCTTCAGACCAGGGGCTGCCCCAGGGCAGCCCCTGTGTTCCACTCTGAATCTCTCATTCTGCAGTCCAGCATCTGTCCTAGAAAAGAGCTGAGAAGCCCACTCCCCACCCCACCCCACCTGCCCTTCCCAACCCGGATGCTCCTTTAAGACCAAAGGGATGGGGGTTGTCAGACACACCAGCCCCATCCTCCCCCTCCTTCACGGGCCAGGTTTCCTGCCATTGACAGCATCCCAGCTGGGCCCTGCCCAGCCTCCACGCTTAACCCCTTCACCACCAGATCTCAGCGCTATGGGCCAAGACTCCAACCTGCATCTATAAAATTAGGAGAAAGAAAGTACTCATTTCACTGGGTTGTTTAGAGAATTAAACGTATTAGTCATGGCATGAAGCACACACAGAACAGTGTCCAGCATATATTAATCTCCCAGTAAAAGTTCTTTGCCTTGTGTGAGCTTGGATCAGTCATTTCACATCTCTGAGTCTCGGTATTCTCAGCTGTCAAATGGGGAACTAAAACCTACTACTCCCCAAAGATTGTCCGAGGGATGAACTGTGATCATGTAGATGAAAGCACTTCTCAAAGAGCCGTAATAATACAATATGGAACTATCGTGGACCAAAAAAAACCCAAAAAACAAAAAACTTCCTTTAACTAGGTGATAAAAATCTCTTACCAGCAAATGGGCCTCTGATTTTTTCAGTCTCATTACCTTACTTTACAGACAGAGGGTACAGTGGAGAGTGGTTTTGGAGTTGGGTTTTGGCAAGATCCTGTTTCTTCATCCATCAAGTGGGATGGTCACCTCTGCTGGGGGGGGGGGGCACCCCCTAGGGTTTTTAGGATAGACAAAGGAGATCCAAGAGCACAGGTGTGAATGTGCTTTGCAGACATTGAAAGTTCTACATGAGAGGGAAAGGGATTTGTGGAAAGTGGTCAGTTGAAGGAGGGCAGGGGCCCCTTGGCAGGGACATTGACTTTTTTGCTCTGGGTGCTGCAGTTTACTGGGGAGAAGGAAAGAGGTCTCCCGGCACCAAGCACTGCGGGCACAGGGCTCCCCCTTGAGACATGAGATGTCAGCTCTAGAAGTCCCTGGTGGGGCAAGGGAGGAAGGAGACCAAAGGACCCAGGCTTGGCCCCAGAATCCTTCCTTCACCACCTCTTCCCAGCCAATCTCATTGGCCATAAGAGGACCATGGGCAGAGGCACCTCCAATGGGCTCCAAGGTGGCTGTCTTCCCAAGACTTGCTGGGACAGGCTCACCCCGCACATCTGCGGCACCCATGCCCCCACCCTTAGGCTGCAGATTCCTGGCCTCACCCCTAGGGAGAGCAGGCTTGACACCATCCACACACCCCAATCAGGACAGGCCTAAACCTGCTACAGAGGAAACAGCACAGTCAGTTAGGACCCTGCTCTGCCTTCCCATTTAACCAAGAGGTTCTGCAAACGCCTAGCAGAGGGGACTGGCCCCACATGAATAGAATGTCCCTACCCCAGGCCTCTGGAGGAAGCTAGGGAATCAGGAGACCTTATCTAGGGTCCTGGCAGTGTCCCAAGCTCACTGTGCCTCCATACAAATCACTTAACCTGTCAGGGCCTGTGTGGCCAGCTGTAAAATAAAGGAGCTGGACCTGGTCCAAGGGTCCTCTCCAGCACTGAGACTGTGACCAGGAAGGAGTTAACTGGAGACCAGGCTCCTGGTCAGGAAGGCAAGGGTTAATCTGGAGGGGGGGGGGGGGGGGAGGCTCTCTCGCCTTTTCCTGTGGAGAGTGAGGTTTGGCTGCTACCAAAGTTACTTCCAGTCCTTGCTGTCCCTCCTGGCCTCCTGTGGTCCTTCCCAGGAACCCCTGCATTCAGCCTCCATACTCAGAGGTGAGTGCATCCTGAGCCCAGGCTGGGGTGGGCAGGCACTCAGGGACCCTAGAGCTGGGAGGCTGACACGAAGCCAGCGAACAAATCCCCCAGCCCATGTCCAGAGCTGAAGCCACGAGCAAAGTTCAGACCACTAACCACAGGACTGGGAGAAGGTGGGCAAACGGACGGAGGGCACCCTAATGTCTGCCAGGCTTCTAGGGTGGAACATCTGTGGTCGAGCATCAGGGCCAACCCGGAGGCAGGGAAGAGACAGCGGACGGCAGATTATTTTGGTCCCTGTGTTTAAGGACTTTTTATAGCCTTGCTCCTCTGGGCTGGGAAGAGGAAAAGGGGATGGGAGGATAACCATGAGGTCAGACAAGCACAGTGCCCTCCTGGGACCTTGGAATCTGACCCATTGCCTGGTGTTATTTCTTTTTTTTTTTTTTTTTTTTTAATTTTTTTTTCAACGTTTTTTATTTATTTTTGGGACACAGAGAGACAGAGCATGAACGGGGGAGGGCCAGAGAGAGAGGGAGACACAGAATCGGAAACAGGCTCCAGGCTCTGAGCCGTCAGCCCAGAGCCCGACGCGGGGCTCGAACTCACGGACCGCGAGATCGTGACCTGGCCGAAGTCGGACGCTTAACCGACTGCGCCACCCAGGCGCCTCGCCTGGTGTTATTTCTTGAGAGCTGGGAGGGAGGACACTTCCAGGCCCTCCTTGCTGCCTGAGTTCCTAGCCACCAACTACCTATGGACTGACTTACTAAACATTAGATAGGTGTGTGTGTGTGTGTGTGTGTGTGTGTGTGTGTGTGTGAGAGAGAGAGAGAGAGAGACAGAGACAGAGAGAGACCGAGAGACAGAGAGAGAGAGAGACAGAGGCAGAGAGACACAGAGAGAGACAGAGACAGAGCCAGTAAAGCTGAACTGGCTATGCTGGGCTGGGGGGGGTTGGCAGGGTCTCTGTTCCAAGGCCTCTGGGGGCGGGGACCCTCCCTCTATCCCTGGCAAGTTCTGTTCTTTTGTTGCCTCTAGACTGGAGGTCAGGTCCCCTCAGCCCCCAGAACTTATGTCTCCCTTTCAGCTGAATGGAGGATTCGGGGAGCAGGGGTGGCATGGGGTTTGCTGAGCCATGTGGGTGGCCCCCTCTGTTACTGCCAGCGGAACTGTCAGCTCTTGATTTACAACCGCTCCAGGTCCTCTTCCCCAGTGGCCGCGGGGAGGTGGCGGACAAGGGTCACAGGGTCTCAGGATGAGAAGAGGGCAGGGACCCCGAGGGCAGATTTCCGGGGAATGCTGGCCGGTTATGGGGAAGAATTTGTGGAGGGAACTTTTGAGTGAGGCAAAGGGCCCACATCTCATGGAAACTGCTTGGTTTTATAGCAGCAGGAATAGAAGCAAAACACAAGAGGGAAGTTCTGATAGGCAAGGAGAGGCGCCAGCTGGACTAGTTCTGCAGTGCGAGGTTAGAGACCTGTCTCCTAACTCTCAGTAAGACTTGATTAAGCCCCTTGCTCTCTATCAGTTTCCTTCTCCGTGAAATGGAAACGCAGAGGTGATGTTTACAGTTGGGCATTGGGGAATTTCCTTGGCAGAGGTACAGAGGTGGCAGGTAGCTGGCTGATCTGACCTTGTGACCAACTCTCTCTCCTTCCCCATGGCCCTGCTGGGACTGGGCAGGGCAGTTGGCTGCAATTACTGGAGGTTCCTACCCTGTAGTTATATCCCTGACCCCCAGTGCTTCAGGGAGGGAAGGGTGGGCCCCGCCAGAGCCAGCCTGTGGCTGGGGAGCCTTCTTGTCTAGGATTCAAAGTTGCTGGGTTGGGAAGAGGTATTTTTTCCGGTTGAGGCCACTTGCGGGAATTGAGCTGGGACCAGCCCCACTTCCTTTTCCAAGTGTCCTGCTTGCTGATGCTTGCTTGGCATGGCTCCGTGGCCAGATTAGGGCACCCTCAAAGGGGCATTAAAAAAAATTTTTTTAATGTTTTTTTTATTATTTTTGAGACAGACAGAGCATGAGCAGGGGAGGGGCAGAGAGAGAGGGAGACACAGAATCCAAAGCAGGCTCCAGGCTCTGAGCTGTTAGCACAGAGCCTGACGCGGGGCTCGAACTCACGGACTGTGAGATCACGACCCGAGCCGAAGTCGGTGCTTAACCGACTGAGCCACCCAGGTGCCCCAAAGGGGCATTTTTTTTTCTGGGCGGCCAGGGAACCCCTGCTCAACCTCTTTGAGGGATAGGAGAGCAGGGGAAGAGGTGGCCTGAGCTTCTGCCCCCTGGACACGGCACTGGTTGATTTGGATGGGGGAGGGGTGGCTGGCTGATCCTATTCCCAGGAATGCCTACAGGAGAGGTGCAGGGCCATCTACTCTTTCCCACTGACCATTCCTCCTTCCCTGTAGGTACCAGGGAGTCCCGACCAATTGCTCTTGGCTCCTCAACTGGCTTCCTCCCTCCAGTGGCTTATGGGGTACTATCCTGCCCAGCTCCGCTAAGATGATCCTGGCCTCTCCCTCCACCCCGTCCAGGGGACGGACCCCCAGCGCCGTGGAGAGGTTGGAGGCCGACAAAGCCAAGTATGTCAAGACACACCAAGTGATAGCACGACGTCAGGAGCCAGCCCTGCGTGGGGGTCCCGGACCGCTCTCCCCGCACCCCTACAATGAGTTGGGACCCCCTGGATCGCCCAGGACGCCCAGGCCCGCCCGCCGGAGCAGCGGCAGGCGGCTGCCAAGGCCTGACTCCCTCATCTTCTACCGCCAGAAGCGGGACTGCAAGGCTTCGGTGAACAAAGAGAACGCCAAGGGCCAGGGGCTGGTGCGGCGCCTCTTCCTGGGGGCCCCCCGCGACGCCACCTCGAGCAGTCCCGGCCCAACCGAGCGACCAGCGGCTCCTGGGGCTTGGGCCGCTCCCCAAGATGCCCCGGAAGCGTCAGGAAAGCGGGCGCTGTGCCCCACATGCTCACTGCCCTTGTCGGAGAAGGAGCGCTTCTTCAACTACTGCGGCCTGGAGCGCGCGCTGGTGGAGGTGCTGGGCGCTGAGCGCTTCTCTCCGCAGAGCTGGGGCGCCGACGCCAGCCCCCAGCCCGGGGCGCCGCCGCCGCCCGGCTCCGGGGACACCAGCGACTGGACGTCCAGCGACACGGATCGTCCGGACGGTGCTGGCGGCGGCGGGGTTGGCGGCGGCGGCGGCGGCTCGGAGGCCGCGGGCTCGGCGCGGGACGGGCGCCCCCCGGTGTCCGTGGTGGAGCGCAACGCGCGCGTCATCCAGTGGCTGTACGGCTGCCAGCGCGCCCGCGACCCGCCGCGCGAGTCCGAGGTGTGACTGCGGCCGCTCGGGAGCGGGCTTCCGGGAAGTCCGGGGTCCGGGCAGGGTTAAGGGGTGGGCGCGGGGCTGGACCCGGGCACCGGAAGGGACGCCCTGCCTCTGACGCGCCGGGTGCCGTGGGGCGAGACCTTCCCTCTGGATCTGGGCTTCCCCTTGTGAACCTTGGGAGGCTGGGACAAAATGATTCCCAAAGGCCCTTCCCAGCGCAGACGGCGGAGGGGGAGGGGGCAGCTATGTGGCCCCTGTGGAGGCCGGGTCTGGGGAGAGAGGTCTGGGGTGGGAGATCAGAGAATCTGCTGAATAAAACCACAATGTTATTTAAAGGAGTCGTGATGTTGGATTAGAGAGTCCATATTGAGGAAAGAGGCGGGGCGGACTTGCGTGGTTAGGTGCGTGGGTTTGGAGTGTGGGTTCCAGGCTCACTGCGTGACCCTAGGCAGACACTTAACCTCTCCGAATCACAGTTGCACCCCTCGGTGATCAAAGTATTTTTGAAAGGGTCCTCAAGCTCATGGCCAAGTGACTGGCGTATAGGAAATGTTCAATAAACGACAGCCGCTAAGACCGCTACTGAATTGGTAGTAGCTCTATTATGATCATCTTCCCCACTGATCCTGACCTGAGGTCGGTCCAAACTAAAGCTGGGAGCCTGGAATGGCGCGTTTGGGGAGTTCTGCCGAGGGGTCTGCCCCAAAAACCTGGGATCCGCCGGCCCGGAAAGGCCGCCCGCATTCCTGGAGATTTGCTGCCCCCTTTTGGTTGCTAGCTATGAATGGGCTGAGATGTGAAGAATCCAGAATTGAGGGCAGTAAAGGAAGGGACTCTTCAAATGAGGATTTTGCCAACCAGGAGCCTCACATCCTGCCACTGTCGTCCTTTCCGTCAGAGACACACAGGGTCCCCTGTTTGCCTCACACACGTCCACACGTCCAAGTCTTTGTTTACGGTCCATCCTCCCTTTGCCTGAGTTACCTTCCCCTTTTTTTCCACTCATCCTTCTAAGATTACATATATTCATTCTCCCTCAGAAATTCCTGAATTTCCCAATCGGCCTCATCTCCTCCGAGCTCCCAAGTACAGCCTTATTTTTATGCCTCAACTTGTCACTTTGTGTGGGACCCGCTGGTAGTTTGGGTTCTTTCCTTTGTCTCTGACCTTCCTTCCCCGAGTACAGGGACTGTGCACATAAAAGGGCCACAGGCAACGTTTGTCGAATGAAAAGAGGCTGGACAGGGCGACGGGCCCTGTCCTCTGGGGCTCCTCAGCTTCCTGGAAAGTTGTAGTCTAAATGGGACACAACCTTTCCTGACACCAGGACTGTCTGGTCATTTTCTCCCTGTACGTTTTTGGGGGGAGAGGGGGAGGACGCTTTGAGCTGGACCCCGCCTTGAGGTTGCCCACCCAGAAGCAGTCATCCCTGAGGTCCGGACAAAAGCACGCGGTCACACAGGGTGTCGGGTCAGGGTCAGGGCTTTTATGGGGGGGAGGGGGAGGGGGGGAGGGGAAGAGCGGGAGCCTTGTTGGACCGGTCGTCTAGTCACCCTTGGGCGCAGCCTTCACCCTCATCTCGGCCAGTTTGTGGGTGAGGAAGCCCCACTTGAAGCCGGCCACGGTGTCGGCCTCCCCAGGCTCCGGGCGTTCGGCGGCCTCCTCCGCGGCCTCGTCCCCGGCTTCGGGGTCCGGCTCCCGGGTGGGTTCGGCGCCGCGCAGTATTGACGCGGCGGCCGCCTGCTGCTGCTGCCACCTGCTGGCGAACGTGTCCCAGAATCCGGACCCTCGCGGCTCCGCCTCCGCCGCGGCCACCGCCTGCGAGGGGGACTTCGCCGCCAGCGGGCTGCGGGAGAGGGACGGGTCAGGGGCCAGCCGAGAGGCGGGAGGAGAGGACGAAGAGGGGAGACGGGGTGCAGACGCTAAGAGTGGGGCCGGGGAAGCCAGGGTGAGGTCAGATGACGGGGGGGGGGGGGGGGGGCGGGCCGGGAGACTGGACGCAGGTCAGGACCTGGAGGCCAGGGGAGGGTTCAGAGGCACTGGGAAAGGAGGCCGGAGTGGGACAGGGTCAGGGGATTAGGGGAGGGGTCTGAGAAGAGGGGGCCGAGACCAAGATCCCTGGGGAGAGAGTAGGGTTCCGGGGTTTAGGGAAGGAACTCGGGGAGAGGGGCAAGGCCAGAGAAGGGAAGCCTGAGGTGCCGGGTCCGGAAAGCTGTGGGAGGGGACCGGAGAGAGTGGCGGGGCCCAGCGGTGCTAGCGGGAGGAGTGAGACCCCGCGCAGGTCCCCATCCGGGGGAAGGGGCGAGGTCAGACTCTTCGAGAAAGGGTCTTCGAAGCCGGGGTTGCAGCGCTGGGGAAAGAGGCAGGGCGGGGGCGGGGGCAGGGGCAATGTTCTGGGGTGGAGGGAAAGGGGGACTAGGAAAATGAGGGAACCCTGGAGAAACGGACAGGTGAGGAGACCCAGAGGAATGAGAAACGCCTAGATCAGAGGCTTAGCCGGGAGGAGGACTGGGGAGGTGGCATGGAGGGGAAGGGCAGTCAAGGAACGGTGATGAGGCTTGAGGTGGGAGCCTCAGGTCTAAGGAAGGGTCCTTGGAGCTCTGGGAGGGACAAGAGATGAGCGCCAGGGGACAGAAAGGAAACCCCGGAGCTGGAGAGATGGGTGGGTCAGGGGGACTGGAGGGGAGAAAGGAATAAGGGAATGTCAGAGGAAGGAGGCAGGACTGGGCTGAAGGAAAGGGCAGGGAGGCAGTGTGTGCCAAAATAGAGCTAGGAGAAAGGAGCTGGCCCGGGTACCATCCCCTAATCCCCAGCAAGATAGTGGTCCCTAGACTAGCCTGCCTCAGGTCTTCAGGAGCCTGGCTGCAAATATAGACCCCAGGCCTCATCCTGCACCTGCTGAATCAGAATCTTTGAAGGAGGGTCTGGCAGAAATTCCCTAGGAGGATGAGGGTATTGGGAACCACTGATCTGGACCACCCTCAGTTCCAAGCGCCTAAAGTTTCTGTCTTCTGTTCCCTGATTGTAGGGAGATGACCCCTCCCATGTGGATGGGGAAAAAGAGCCTAAAATACCTTCTAGCACCTCAATCCCAACAGCCCTTAAAGTCCTCCTGAGATCTAACCTAATCTCCAGAGATGATGATTTGGCCTCTTTCCTGCTGAGAGAAACTGAAACAGCCCGTGGCTGCCTCTCCCCCTCCCTCCTTGGTCAGAAAGACAAATAGACCAGAAGGAAAGGACGTGGGAGAAGGGAGACCCCAGGCCCATCCCAGCCCCCACCAACACGTACTGGTCGGCACAGGGCTCCGGTGGCAGCAGCTTGTCCTCATCTTCTTTGTTAAACAGAGACGACATTGTCAGCCAACCTTTCACCCCGACCCCCTGAACCTAGGAGGAAGGGGCTGGGAGTCAGGGAAGGGTCATAGCACCACCTCCCAGGATCCCACAGCAGCCTCCTCCAGACTCCCCAGGGCTGGGGTAAAGAAGGAAGAACTCACCCGGCGGGCCAACTGGGACATGGGATGGAAAGCCTCTTCGGTAGGTTCTGCCGGCTCAGAGTCCACTAACGCTGGGTTCCCTCTCTGGGACACAAGACCCCTCCCAGCATGAGAGAGGTCCCAGAGGAATGGGACTTCCCTCCCCCGCTGCTAGCCTGGTACGCACACCCCGGCACCCCAACCCCCCACAACTAAACACCCATCTGGTCCCCTCACGCCCTCCATAAATACATACAAGTGTACCTCTACACAAAGTCACCAGTCACATACCTTACCTGTATAGGAAACCCCTGCAGACACCCTCGAGCCCACATACCTGCCCACCCATGGACGTATCCACACACACCCAAAAATGTGTGGACAACGGCATGCATGCTGATGTAGACACACACCTGTACATGAGCATGCCTCCACAGGGCTATGCCTCTTCGCCTGTACATAGCTGTACGTGCTGTGAGGCACCTATACAAGGACACGTACACTGTTATACCATTCACACCTGTGAACTTACAGAAATGCAGGCAGCGGCACAGAGGCCCACCTACAGCACACTAAACCTCTCCACCCATCCACAGACACAAAGATGGAGATGCACACACACACACACACACACACCCTATAGAACTAGTTCCTGCCCCTGCCACATCTGTTTGCACAAACTGCTACTTATTACAGCCTCTAGATGTAAGACCGTTCCCAGTGTCAGAGCCTTTTTGATTTTTTTTAAATGTCAGAATAAACATGCTCCAAGTCTGGCTCTGATCTGATGCTGCAACAGTGACCCTCTAAGGGCAAGCACGACTTCTAGGACCATAGGCCTCACTTCCTCTCCAGGCAAGCCATCCCAGTTCTGCTTAGCTCTGCCCATTAGGAAGTTGTGTCAAGCTGCATGTGCCCCATGTGGCTACTGCCTCCTGGTCTCTTCCATGTGGCAGCCCTTGGCTGCCATCTTTGGAGACGGAGTCTGTCGTGGGAGACAATGACCATTTTTCCCGTGGCCCCCCAATCTTCTTCCTCAGTTTCCTGAAATATCCTGGCTTTCGGCACCAGGCCATTTGTCATCCTTGAAGGTGCCAATTGTTTCTGCACAAATGTGCCTCCCCTCACAGAGCCTGTCCCTTGCTCTTCATTGTATCTCACTCCTGCTCTCTCTGCCCATGACCCACCCAGCAAACATGGATGGTACCCACCTCCTCTGCCAGGTCTTCCTCAGATTCCCCACTGAGGGTCTGTAACACTTTGGACTTGTAGGTTTTCCAGAAGGCCTGGTTCATGGCTGCAGGGAAAACAGACCTGGCACCCAAGCTCAGGAAGGCAGTGACTCAGTGGGCACCCAGCGGGTCTGGCTCCAGGAACTTGGTGAGGCCCAGAGCCTGTCCCAGGGATCAGGTGACTTCATTAAAGATGCACCAGCCTCCCCAGCTGGCACACTGTCAGGCAGGTGAGCTGATCCAGAGGAGTCTGGGGTGGAGACAGGACAGAGCTGGCTTCTGTGGCCTCAGCCCCTCGTCTTGACCCATATTGGCCAAGAATAATGGAGACATCTCTCTCCACGGAGGCCCGCTTCCTGGCCCTACGGGTACTTGAATTTGATCTCTTGGAATGGCTCCAAAAAAAATCTGCTTGCATTCACAAAGTCCATTTATAAAGTCCTTGGGCCCAAGACCCACACTGGTGCCCCTGTGACTGTAGCCATACCAGTTGTGCCTTCAGCAGGGCCTGCCCTATGTCCCCACTCAACTGTGAACTGGAGTGGGGAGGTCTCAAAGCCCCTGGCTGGCACCCTGGGCTTACATTTCTCTGCTTTGTCTGGGCTGGAAACCGATTCCTCTCCCCAGGGATGCACGTGCATGTCTCCCTGTTTCCTGGCAACAGGTTCCAAAGAGCTGGAGCCCCTGAATTATTGCTGAGCTCCTCTGGTCAGCCAGGAAGGCACCAGGCTCCAATGAACGGAGAAAGGCTCTCTGGCCATCCCCCCACTCTGAGCACAAAATACCTAGGCTGTATCTCTGCCTTTGCTGCCAGCCCACACCAGGGAGTCCAGGGCTCAGAGAAAGGGGGCAAAGATGAGAGGTGCTTCTGCCAGCCCTTCCACTTCTTGCGAGAGTTGCTGACCCCGTGCAGTCTGAGGAGATGCCTGAGCAGAACACTCCTTGCTCACGGATTTGACAGGGGGTGCACGAAGGACGGAGACCCAAGGGAATAACTGGGGAACGGTGAGAAGTGGTGAGCGCTTTGTCAGGAACTGGAGGTATCTCAGGAGTCCCTGTGGGGGCCAGATCCCAAACTTACTCACTCGCACTCATTAATTCATTTATTCACATCACAGACATTTTTCAGTGCCTCCCAGACATGCTCAAGGCATATTCCCTCCCCTTGCTGACCGTGGAGTCTAAGATCTGGGAACAAGCATGGGGTGATAGTGCCAAGGGATGGAGTAGAGACAGGTCGGGCCAGAAGGGACCGGAGGTCAGGGCGCGGAATCCCCCGGGGGCCCGCACCACCCAGCCGCTCCCGGGCCAAAGCCTCGCCCTGGGCGGAAGCCGCAGCTTTGGGCCCCGCCCGGCGCTCCGTCTCTGACGTCGACCGCCGCCTGGGGGCGCTCAAGGAGCGGCCTGCGCGAGTGACGTCATCTGAGGCAGTCTGGACGAACCTGCTCCGCCCCCGGGCGTCCTTGACGTCATCCAGCAATCCGGAAGCGCCCGCACGTGTGCCCCTGACCCGGCTCTGGGCCCCCTGGCCCCGCCGTCACTGGCCATGGGTCGCTCCCGTCGGACGGGTGCTCACCGAGCCCACTCCCTGGCCCGCCAGATGAAGACGAAGCGGCGGCAGCCGGACCTGGACGAAATTCACCGCGAGCTGCGGCCCCAGGTTCCCGCACGGTCTCGTCCAGACCTGCGCTCCGAGCCCGACCCCGACCTGCCAGGGGGCGGCCTGCATCGCTGTCTGGCCTGCGCGTGAGTCCCGGCCGGGCCTGGCCTGGGGAGGAGAAGGGTACGCGGGACGGGACGGGGGCGTGAGGTCCGGGCCCCAGGACGCGCGGGTTCTGCTGACCTCCCATCACTTCAGGCTCAGAGCCCCGCGTCAGGGAGATAGGCATACCTGAGATGCATCACCTCACTCTCCTCCTTACCCACCTCCCATCCCTACAGGAGGTACTTCGTCGATTCCACCACCCTGAAGACCCACTTCCGATCCAAAGACCACAAGAAGAGGTATGAAGGAGTAAGGAGAGGACTGGTGGACGGGTGCTGGGCAGACAGGGCTTGCATCTGGTCAGCTCCCAACTCTCTCTCTTCTTTCAACCAGGCTAAAGCAGCTGAGCGTGGAGCCCTACAGTCAGGAGGAGGCCGAAAGGGCAGCGGGTATGGGCTCTTATGTGCCCCCCCAGCGGCTGGCCGTGCCCACGGAAGTATCCACTGAGGCCCCCAAGATGGACACATCTCCCTGACATGGCCTGAGGATGTAGGGCAGGGGAACTGCCCATGGACAGTGGTGCAAGGGCTAGGCTGGCAAAGACTGTGCCAACCTATTTTGGCCCTGGGTTTGGGGAGTGGATGGCCTCTTCTGGGTGCCCTCACCCCCAATAAAGGAACTGGATGAAGAGGACTTGTCTCTGACTCTCTAACCTCCAGGCCACTCCTCCAAACTCCTGCCCTGTAGGGGTTTCTCTGTTACTCTTGTTTACAGGGCCGAGGGTGTCCATTCCCCACTTGGTCCGGCTTTGGAACCTACAGCCTTGCTTTCCCTCAGGGGTCCTGGCATCTGAGCTGGAGCCCCAAGATGGAGCCCAGGTCAGTGAAGGGGAGAGGGAAGATCAGGGACTGACCCTCAGAAAAGAAGTGGGCTCCCGAGATTGCAGCCCCCACTGAGTCACCTCCCCCAGGACCCGGGCGTGAGGCTGCCTACTTTATCATCAGGCCTGTGGCGGCCGCCGCTGCCCCACCATCTTCCAGACAGCATAGCAGGAGCCACCCAGTCCAAGGACAGCCAGCAGTGTAGCCACTACCCCGGCCAGTGGACTCCGGGGCTCTGCTTTGAGCTCCCCAGCTATCTGCATCTGGAGATACACAGAGGGTCCATCTGAGGGGGGGGTTGAGACCCCCGGGGGGGGGGGGGGGGGGGGGGCGGCAAGGAGCTGAGAGGGTACAGCTGGCTGAAGGAGATATGGATGCCATTGCTGCCCCAGGGAGATTCCACCCCAATCCCTCTCGCTTCACTGCCCATCTGGGCCCTGGCCGCTCAGGCGGCAGGAAACGTGACAGCCTGGATGCTGGGGGTGTTAGCCCAGCTATGGTAGGGGAAAGAGGGGGTCCGTGGCTGAAGCCGTAGGTTAGAGGTGCTTACCTGTAGCACCCGGAAGTAGCCAGGGGTCAGGCGTCGAAATCTCATGGTGGGTGCCACTAGTCTTCCTTGGCGGCCTGTGGGGTGGAAGCAGAATGAGGATTAGTGGTGTTCATAATACCAAGGAGTGGAAATCAGGGCATAGAGGTGTCTGACCTCTCATATCCATGGGAGCCATACCTCAGAGGATGCTCACCAGCGTCTGCCCTCCCAGGTCTGGCAGGGGGCGGGGCAGCTGAACCTTTAAATCTGGTCCCTTCCCCCGCCTGCCCATCCTGCCAGCTTCAGGAGCAGCTGTCAAGAGAGATCAGCATCAGGCCTGAGCAGCACCTCCCCCACTCACCAGGGAGGCCAGGCTGGGTAGGGCAGGAAAGGCCTTGCCTGGCAGTGCTCAGGAGTCTTAGACCTGGACCAGGTACTGGGAGGGTCTCCCCAGCCCGGGTCCTGGCTCTATCCCTACTCCTCAGATGGTCGGATATCACGAGTCAGCCCTCAGCATAGGAGGGGCAGGGTGCCTTATTAGCCCTCCCTGGTCGCCCTGAACATTGGTGAGCCTTTTCACTTGGTTTCTGTTACATCAACGCCCATTACCTTGGCGGGGGGAGGGCACATATCACTCCTTTCTGCAAGATGAAGTTCCCGCAGGGACTTTCCTATTCTTGGCTTGGGGACAATAATAAAAGGAGATTAGCATATACTGATTAAGAGAGCTGTCCATGGCATGTTAAAAAACAGCTGACTGTGCCAGGCAGTATTATAAGCACTTAACATGTATTAATTCATTTGGTATTGGTTATCTTATAATATGAACAACAACCACATGTTTTCAGAATAGTATACAGAGTACCTGCATATGCAGAGAATGGAAACTTTACAGTGGTCCCCACTTGGGCCTAGAATAGAGATATAATGACCTACTGCTAACCTTTGAATATTTTACAACAAAGATGCAGAAGGAACTTTTATAAACTCAGAAAACTACCTTTAAAATAGAAGCTACCTTGGGGCGCCTGGGTGGCTCAGTCGGTTAAGCCTCCGACTTCAGCTCAGGTCACGATCTCACGGTCCGTGAGTTCGAGCCCCGCGTCGGGCTCTGGGCTGATGGCTCAGAGCCTGGAGCCTGCTTCCGATTCTGTGTCTCCCTCTCTCTCTCTGCCCCTCCCCCGTTCATGCTCTGTCTCTCTCTGTCCCAAAAATAAATAAACGTTAAAATAGAAGCTACCATTTACTCTGCCCTTAACTGCCTAACCCTGCCAGGTGCTAGGAGCAGAAAATAAAGGCAAGGTTATGTGGGGCGCCTGGCTGCCTCGGTCGGAAGAGCATGCGACTCTTGATCTTGGGGTTGTGAGCTCAAGTCCCACGTTGGGTGTAGAGATGACCTCTTAAATAAATAAATACTGTTTAAAAATAAAGGCAATGTTGTGGACGTCAGGCCCCCAATCCTTTTAGGGGTGCATGTGAGTGGTGAGTTCCTGTCTGTTTCTGCCCTACAGGACTGTGTGTTCAGGCTGGCTCAGGGTAGGTGTTTGATGAAATCAGGGTGGTGGAGACAGGTGTGTGTTTACTGGGCTTCCCCAGAGCGCCGCAGGGAGGCTGTTGAAGGAAGAGGGCAAAACGGAGGAGTGATGAAAGGACACGTGCAGCTCAGGGTATGAGGATGCATGAATGGGGCCAAGGACAAAGCCAGAGAGGGGAGGGCTGTGTTGCACAGTGGAGCCTGCTGGTTCACCAGCGAGGGAGTCAAGCCTGCAGGTACCTTTGAGGACCCTGAAAGATGCAGATAACAATCTGCATTCTTGTTTGATGCCGTATGTAATGGTAGGAGGGAGCCAGGGGAGCAGGCCAAGTTCCAGAGAACTCAATTTGTACGTGAAATTATTAAATGATGGCAACTAACACACACCCATTATATGGGCCATCCAGAGGCCAAGTGCAGAATTTGGATTTGGGGGCAAGATCATGTCAGGCTTTGAAGGCTGGGTACTGGGGCACTGGTAGGGATTCCAAAGTGACACAGTCAGAGGGGCAGGCCCTGGGAAGCCTTCCCAGGCCCCTCTCCATAGAACGAAAGCAATAATAATAGCTCAGATCCATCCCATTTGACAGATTTCAAAATACTTCAAGGAAATCTTCACAGCACTAAGGTCTAAGCGTCTCTGTTTTAGACAGGAAGGAACAGTTCAGAGAGGTGTTGAAATTGGGCGCAGTCACATAGCAAATGGAAGTGATTCTGTCTGATTCCAAAGTCCTAGGAGTCTCCTGGCCTGGGATGGTGGTGGTGGTGGTGATAGCTACAAATCGTATGTCACAGATTATTGTTCTAAGAGAAAAGCTCTTAACTGGGATTCAGAATACAGAGGGCCGATAAACTTGGATGGGAAAAAAAGTGATATATTTTCACTAAACTGTAACCAAAATTTACCACTTCCTTCTATATGGATTGAAGTATTAGCAGTATCTGTGGCTTTGTCACCAATTGAAATCACAGATTTTTAAAAAAAAAATTTTATTTTTTTTTATTTTTTTTTAATTTTTTTTTAACATTTATTTATTTTTGAGACAGAGAGAGACAGAGCATGAATGGGGGAGGGTCAGAGAGAGGGAGACACAGAGTCTGAAACAGGCTCCAGGCTCTGAGCTGTCAGCACAGAGCCTGACGCGGGGCTCGAACTCACGGACCGTGAGATGGTGACCTGAGCCGAAGTCGGCCGCTTAACCGACTGAGCCACCCAGGCGCCCCCCCAAAAAATTTTTTTAATATTTATTTATTTTTTTTAATGTTTATTTTTGAGAGAGGGAGGGGCAGAGAGAGAGGGAGACACAGAATCCAAAGCAGGCTCCAGGTCCTGAGCTGTCAGCACAGAGCCCGATGTGGGGCTTGAACTCATGAACCGTAAGGTCGTGACCTGTGCCAAAGTCAGACGCTCAGCTGACTGAGCCACCCAGGCGCCTCTAAATCACAGATTTTTTCATTCAAATTGTAGTTATTGCAAGTGTCTCAACATTATATATGCTCATAACTGTTTCAGAATTGTGATAGTTATTAGCCCACCATTAAATCACACTCCTTCAGACTCCTGCGACATAGCTGCCATTGATTGGGCACCTCTGAGCCCAGTAGAAGGTCAGTGACCAAATGGTAAATCCACTTGTTCTCACACCAGTAACCCAGGCTTCTCCATTATTCTTCTGATTCCTTATATTTAGTGGTTAACTGATAAATACATGTGAAAAGGTGAGTCAAAGACCACCCCACAGTTTAGCTGATATCATTAGAAAAGGAAAATTTAGTGGCACCTGGGTGGCTCAATCAGTTGAGTGTCCAACTTCGACTCAGGACATGAATTCATGGTTCGTGAGTTAGAGCCCCACAGCAGGCTTGCTGCTGTCAGCAGAGAGCTTGTTTTGGATCCTTTGTCCC